AATACTGATTAAATAATATGCATACTAGTATATCGGATTTAAAATAATTTCCCAGATATGGCAATATAACGACTGATTACACCCACAGTTACATATATTTTCGGCATTTCCATATAGTGAGGTTGTCAATATAATGCAAAACATGAAATCAATTTTATTTCTGATGTATTATGCTATGCATTTTCTAATGAATATTACTTTATTGAAGGCTTTTATAGTTTTTAAAAATTTACAGTGGCTTAAATATGCCAACACTCAAAAAATCAGTTTCAGATAATTAAGTAATAATCCTCAATATAATTTCTTCATTACGTTCTTATGTTTATTTTATGAATCATACTTAGTTCATGAATCATTCTTACTTCATTAATCATTCTTACTTCATGATTGAACAGAGTAATTTGGAAAACAGCTTTCTTCAACGCATTCCATCAATGTTCTGTCAAACCGACCGTCGTCGAAATTAAACACCCTTCTTCGGAGACACTACGGAACCGCTTTCGTATTACTTCTAGAAGGGTCTCTTTTATATTGGAGTTGAATGCCATGCTTTGTTGATTTTTGATCTACTTCCAGACCTCCACTTTTTCACCAAATTTTTAAGTGTCTGCCCTTTTTATTATCTAAGTTTCTATTTCTCTTTTATAGGTTTCTAGCTTTGAGAACTAAAAACACATATAATTCTATTATACGCCTGTTTTCTGGGTTTGCTCTAATCTTTTCCATTATCTTCTTGGGAAGAAGAATTACTACTGAATTAAGTAGTAATTTGTTTCTCTTAATTTGTATTGAAACCAGATGATTATATTAGGTTTCAGTCTAGTTGTCCATCTTACTCGAGTACTTTGCTCCAACTATCTTACCACATTCTGCAGGTTTGCTATTGAATTTCTCCAACCATTTGTTGAGTATAATAATGGTTTGCTTTTTTATTGTTTACTCTTTGGTGCTCCCTTGCATACCTAACGTCACAATTCTGTGCACAATTAACATCGTAAGTGTAGTGGAATAAGTAACTATGTACACTTAATTTTACTAGGATGCTACCCCTATATATTTCATATATTTATACTCCTTATATTTCTCTAACATAAATTCTTGTAAATATGAATAGACAGCCATAAAAAAGTATGTGTAGACGCTTACAGTAAACTAACGCAAAGGATAGACTACTTTAAGGATGGATTGATGGTAAATTCGGATCTTCAAAGAATTTAAAGGAAAAAAACCAAGAACCAGATTATTTTACAATAGAATTATGCTAAACAGTATTATGTTTAACACCTCAAGTGATCTTTTAAAAAAAATATGCCCTGAATATACAAACATATTTTTACAGAACTTCTAGAACTCGTTTAGTTTACTTAAATTTTTTTTTAATATGTTTTGACGTTAAGCAATTTGCGAGTTATTTTATTTAGTAATTAGTTAACATATTATTAGCCAAGGACATTCAAGGTTTTGTCTGAAAACCAACAATTCGATTTTCATATTCATGAGGTTGCTACTTTGGAAACAGCAAATATATGCATAATATTTTTTTATTTTACTTGTTCCACATATACCAACAACTCACCAATTACTGTAAAGACCTAGCAGTCAAAAGACTTCACTTCAATATAGTAATTACTTCAACATTTTATCCGAAACCAGTGCAACTTTTTTGTTTAAGCCAGAATACCAATGTAAACTTCAACATGAATTAAATATAATTATTTGTTTATTGAAACTTATTACAACACAACATCCTTCAAGAAGTCAAAAGAAGATATATATTATTGTACCTTTCACACAAAAGTACAGAAATAATACATTGAGTCATGCTCGGCAGTACTAATATATTATGGTACAAACACCTGAACGGGATAGATCTATTTCTAATTTCAATGAAACAAGGCAAATGTTCTTGTATGAAAAATTACTAAAAATGATTGAAACTCTTCGTTTATGAGAAAGGAAATGGAACAAAGAAAACAAAGTCTTTCATAGTAGAAGACTTGATATAATATAGACAATATAATAGTCAAAAAACTAGTGCTGAAGTAGCCGGTACTAAAGAATAAACTCTCGTCAGCTGTTTTAAAATTAAAATTCTTATCAGCTAAATTGCACTGAAGTAGATGAACAGTTAGACCAGTGTAATATATAGTAGAATGCCCGGGGATGGGCAAATTAGAATAAGGACCTTTACCTAGACAGTATATTTTATAGATGATACACACAGTAAGAGTACATCATGAGTGCTTTACCTTCTTTTCAGCAATAATTATTTGTAGACAAAAGTAAACGTGTTAGAGATTTAATAAATGTTAATGCATCTCAGGATCCTAAACCCAATAATACAAGTGCAGTAATTTACTTGTGAACTGGTTTTATCTTAGTTACTTAAACAAAATTAAATTTATTCCATATGATGAGTTTTATAACGAAAATTGGATATAATGAATGCTCAAGTACTTTGGAAGCCGCTTAATAATCACTCCTTATACTAAGAAAAAAATATTATGTGTTGGATATAAATAATATTTTTGAGAAGCTTAAAATTATTTTAAATGATTATTACATCTTAAATGAGATTCATTTTTTTTTTATAAGAGAGATATCTTTAATAATTGTCAATAAGCTATTGAATAAGACTATATAAGATTGAGAATTAACAGTTAAATGATCTTTCAAGTCAAGGAAGTATATTATGTTATATATAGGTAAAGAACCATTAAACAATTGTACTTCGGGATATGCATTCTGACTAACAAGGTAATATGATGTGTCGCAACTTAAGTTTTTTGGGTGAGGTGACGTTAAAAATGATTTCAATGTGGTTAATCCTCAAGTTCTGAATGCTTTGAAATTCAACAGCTTTGTAACGACTAGACATCAAAATTGAAGTCCCTTTTCTTACCGACCTGAGCAAGCATGCATGCTGCAAAATTAGAGACTTACACAAGTTGATAGAATTATCAGACTGGTTCAACTTTACCTAATGGGGAAGTCATTACTTTCGATATTAGTTATACGCTGATCTTCAGTATATGTATGAAAAAACCCAATCTAGTGACACTTCAACGAACCATTATTTGAGCTCTAGTGGACTTTCTTCGGTACTCCAAACTAACTTAATCTAAACTAATCATCAATAGTTACTTTCAAGGAATTCAGTACTATAATACAACTCTTAAAGAATATTAAGTTATATTATTTTTAAGTAATATAAACAAAAATGTTATCAAAATTTTGTGTTTAGTTCACATTTATTATTGGACTCACAAAATGGAGAAGCCTGCATTGAAGACGCTTTGAAAATCAACAACTTCGTGATGATAAATCATCAAAAATTACCTTTCTGCAGTTCAGTACTGTAACATAGGTTATTCTTTAGAGGGTCTTGAACTAATATTTTATTTTTTTTGTAATTTCAAGGTTAAAACAATATACTAATATAGAAATTTGATCAAAATCTTAAACGGTAATAACTGTTTTAACAGCGCACTGTACCATAGGATCGCATGAGACTAATCTTAGCCTATCTTTTAGTATCCTATAGTACATATCTAACAGCGCTCGAAGAAAAGATACTAAAACATCTATTGTGTCTATTTTCAGGGTTGGTTAGATCCAGGCTTTAGCTTTTGATTGCTTTCTCTTTAACACACTCAGCGATATATTCGGCTTTAGTATTGGCCGGAGACGCACATTTATCAATGCTTCTGGCTGATTCTCACTTGACTATCCTTCTACTCATTATTACTAAGTATTGTGGTATTAAAATGGATTTCTTAGCTAGTTGAGGAGGATTCGTTCTAACTTAATCGGAAGTGTGTTTTGTTTAAATTCACTATTGGAACCAAGAAATGTATAAACCTGTGTCAAAATATAGTTTTTCATAAATTTCTATTGCGGTGAAAACAAAGATTAATTGAGCTATTTAAATATTAAGTATTTCATTGTGTATTAGCTTTGTTGTTTATTATGTGGATGCAACAATTTGAACCTTTTGTACTGTATTTAATTGTAACAAAGACCATGGTTAACGATGTTTATGTTTAACTTCAATCCAAACAAAAAAAAAAGTATCTGAATAAAATGAAAAATGTTTTTTGGGAAGAGCATTGTAGTTTAAACGTAAATACAATTATTAACATTTTTGTTTTCGATTATGTATTGTGTGATTAGCTGCCATGCAACTGCACTGCATGTTGACCACCAAAAAACGCAACCTCAAATCATGAATGTAATTCAAGCCCATTTACAGGCCGCGAGTGCCCGTTAAATGTGAATGTGGAGCAGTCAAAAACTGTAACGATACCCTAAAGTATTGCCGACGTTCATGCGGAGACCCAATTATATTTGTTTTATTTGTACGTTTTACGCCTGTTTCTCATGGGACCAGATGTGATGTAAGTTGGAAGTAAGTACCACAATCACGAGACATCTGCGTTAATCATAATTGAAATTTCATGCTCAACTCTTGCATGTGCAACAACGAGCGAACAGCCAGAGCCAAGTGTAGATACATTTAAATATTTAATTACGCTTGTTTTATTACGGCAGGCAGCACGAAGTAAGGATCATGTTTTCTGGCACTGCATTTGAACGCTAATGTTAGCAATAAGAAAGTGATACAAAGTTGAGTAACTTTTAAACAAAGACCTTTAAGAAGTTTTAATGAAAATAAAAGTGGCACTCATTTAATGTGCAAAGCGACGTTGAAGAGACGTTAAAAAAGCAATTTTTAACTTGCCGTTTAGTTGACCATAAAATCATGTTTTTTCTGTGTAGCTATAGCCGCGGCGCTGCTCACTGCATACAATATGTACACTAAGTGAATAGGACTATGTGAATAGGACTGCATACAGCAGTAAGACATCCCAATTTATTGTTTTGCTAACATTAAGTGGCTGCAGCTCTTTGATAAGCGTACAACCAAAATATAGGAGAGACAGACAGCAAACTACGCACGGCTGCGTTATTCATTGCTTTTTTTTAGATATGTTACTCACCTGCAACATTAATTCCCGTAATTTATCCAAATCATCGCCGTGTGACCTTGTCGGAAGATACCGACACTCGCACTGCTGCTGCTGCTGCATTATAAGCAGCAATGGAAGCAACCAGAATCCAATGAAAATTGTTGTTTTTACCAGAGTAGCCATACCGTTTCCACTAAGTTTTTGTGGTTGGAACTTTTCGCTTTAGTTGCCGACCTCCTTCACTGATTTCACTTTCAGCCGAACTCTCTGCTGATTTGTGGTTTTGTGCTACCCTTTTTTGTGGGATTTCTGCGAATAGCCGGGAAGTTTTATTGCAATTTCTTTAACTGATTTAAATTAATAATTTGTTTAAAATATTTTTTCCAATTTTAAACGTTGCTAAGTTACCTTACTTGCTACCTTTGTTCTTTCGATCTGAAAAAAAATGAAACAAAATATTCATTAAAACTCACGAAACTATTTGTGGTTAACATAAAATATTTTGTATTGGTCTTAAGACTTTAAATTAAATAAAAATGTCACAATTAAGTCATAATTTATTTAAAAACATTTGCATGCAAACTATATAAGAAACCGAAATATTTAACTTATAGGTGCCACACTTTGATTTCGTACCCCATGCTAAGGTCTAACTACTGTTAGCGTCGTAAAGCTAAAAGCTGAAAAAAAAACAGAACCTCAACAAAATATTATAATTAATATTTTGGATCAGTTGGTTAAGGTACGCTGATTTTGAGCTTCACATTCGGCAGGAGCCGAGTTCGATTCCTGGTACTTGCAGTCTCAAAAATAATTATTTACGAATAATTAAATACAAGAATTATTTCCAAGATCTCTTATGATGGGTATTTGGCAATATTCGAAACAGCTGTATGGTTAGCCCAAAAATTCAATTAATTAAAATAATATAAAAAATAAATTTTTGTTGTTGTAGTTCACTACTGTTCGAAAAAACCTCTTTATTATTATTGTTAGGAGATATAGCACTGTAACACATATACTACTGTTATGTAGTACAAAACTTGAATTTACAGAGTTTTATTGCCTCTTCCGTAAGAATATACATTCCCAAGATCCTATTCCGTATGTACATTAACGCAGAGCATTTTAACAGCACTTGTGGTGCCGACTCCCCATTCTCTTCACAGAATCTACAGTTTCCATTCGTATTTATACCCAGCCTCGTAAACCTGAACAGAACTGCTTTAAAATCTTTTCAGTGAAAAAATTATTTCACTAAAACAAGAGGATTCAGAATAGAAATAAATTTACTTTTATTTTAATTTATTTAAATTTGTTGGGTGATCATGCAATATTGCCAAACACTCATAATAAGTAGTCATTAAAAATATTTGTTGGACCTAGAACTGGCAAAATTAGAAGCAATGGCTACACATGTGCATTAGACAAACTAGCTAATGTGCTAACGTAACGTAGCTAACTGAACTCAACTTTCATTGTACAAATATCAAGTTAACCCGACTAAACTGACGAAAATCCCTTTTAAAAGAATAAAGAGAATACATTCACGTAATATGAGCGTGTAGATTCAAAGCATAACCACCTTTCCAGTAGAGAAAAGATGCATATGAACAGAAGATCCTAAGCATAAATCCCATTCTAGTAACGAAAGGAAAAGGAAAACAAATACACAGGAGTTAGAATGATATGTTAATTTTTAGACTTCAGTTTTCACATTTTTATGCATCATATTTCACAATATAAGAATAGATTCCTTCTATATATTTTGATATAATCTAAATGGATAATTTTTTTTGTACGTAATTCAAAATTTTGTGAATTTGCTGAGAAAAATGTATTAAACTATCGTATATAGTGGGAGACACACTCCAACTGATATAAAATGAATGTGTCCAAACCCCATGCAAGTACCAAATTCAGTAAAAATAATAGCGTATAAATCATATTTTTTTTTAAAGGCAAGATTGGAACATCATCTGTGGATCATCAGTAATTCCTAGACAATCTGATTTGACTACAGCATAATCAGAAAGAAAGTTATTTATTAATATAAAAATATTACGAATATTAAAATAAATGTATATACCTATAAAGATATATAAAATGCACGGGACAATTAACATCATTATAGCTGAAGCTAGCTTAAGCACAATATACATGGAACGATAGTTCATAGAAACTATAGTTTCTATAATTAAGAATCAAATAGAGACAGCTTTAGAAGAATTATTAAGACAAGGCCTCAATAATTCTTCTATGCCCCACTGGGAGAAGTGGACAACAGTAGTAGTAGTAGTAGGAAAGACACTCCAATTTTCAGTCTTTCACTATTGACTTTAGGTTGCAGTTGTTTCATGGTTCGTCCTTTATACAAGGAAAAAGGTCCTTGTAATTCGCCGGCATATTTATGTTAGTTGCGTTCCTTTAAACTATATCAGCTTTTTATTTCATTGGAAGGGTAGATCATATATATAATTTTCAAAAAAACATTGCATTTGTAAAAAGTTAACACAGTCTTTGATACTATGTACCGAGATCTATGCTGAAGTCATTATTGAATTTTGATTCTTAAAACTTTTTTAATAGTGAATATTCATTCTCTAGACAATATAATTGATAGACGACTACCACAATTGACTCAATTTTTAAAAAAAAAATTTCTGCAAATTTGTCCATTTTTATCACAGAAAGCAATTAGTAGTTCCCTTAAGATATCCAAAAGATAATAGGCGAAAAGAAATCTGCAAAAAGTCAGTACATAGTATAATTTTTAGCGTGAAGGTGCGATACAAATCGTAAATTTTAATCGCTATAACTTCATAAATACTAGGGAATACATTTGTTTAGATAAAATTGAAGATTTGTAAAATATGTGGTTTCATTAGAACAATGTTTAAAATTGAGAACTTAGAAAAACTATAAATATTTACATCTTCTGCACTCAGTTCTCCCCATATGGATGAAGTTTAACTACTATAGCTACTATATAATTACTATGTAATTGAAAATTTCGAATATTTTCTAAGACCACTGCTGATGAGTACTTGACAATACTCTGAACAACATTGTATGGTCAGCCAAATTTTAATAAAATAATTTAAATTTTTGTTGTTGTCTTTTCATCGTTTCAACCCTTCTAAATCAAGATTTTTTTCGTCTGTTTTTGGAACAAAGAAACATAATCATAACTATAAATAATTGCAAACAAACATAAAATAATAAAACTCTGCTTCTAAAGTTTCAAAATTATATATAACAATTACTTTAATTGCACAAAAATTTTGGTGGAATAACTTAAGTTCTATGTGGAATCAAAATACCATTTGCAATAAAAGCTTCACCTATCTGTAGATTTTGTTCTTCAGTGCATTAGCGTTTCTTCAGTGTTAAAGAAATTTTATTTAAACTAAAGTCAGAATTATATGAAATGAAATTTTTATTATTCTGCTGTGGAAGTTATATTACAATCATTGTTCTTTTTTAAAATAAAAAGAACAAATTTATTAAGAACAGACTATTAAGGTTCTGGTTACTTACTTAACTGCTTAAAACAATTTGTGGCATCAACCTTTTATCTTTGACTTTGCAAGGACTCTGAGTTCGACAGCTGAATTTTATCGCATCGTACGCCACTATATTTTACGACCCACTTTAATAAGATGATTTGTGTCATATGAGAGACATAAAACCTTATCTACAGACTGCCATATAAATAATCCATGCAGCTCATCTCAAATGAACTGAAAAACTCAATAAATCTGAAACAACAAAACTGTAATTTACTGCATTTTTTACTGCAGCTTAGGTTGGAAAAAATTTGCAGTAAAATTTTTATAAAAATAAAAACAACTCCCCCGTATTTGGTAAAGTGTGGGCTTCACGTACACAATTATCCGACCATCGCACAGATTTTATCGAGTGCAATCCGCACGTTGTTATGGAGGGATGCGCAAACCTGACGCAAGCCAAAAATCTTATGAGAAGAGAATAAATAAATCGCATGACTGTAGGCGCAAATGTTTATGGAGCTTATTTCCACATGAGCGGAATCAAACTGATTTCCTTTTGTATTGAACTTCTGAGGCAAGTATCTAAAATATTTGAATTATTCAATAAAAACTCAACGCTTGGTATGCAAATTTAAAACTAAAAAGCAAAAAAAAACATGCTCCACTGAATATCAAATATAAATTAGGTATCAAGATTTCAAAAGTGTCCTCTGTCCCTAACAAACTGAATAATAAATAGAAAATTTATTGTCTTTCACGTCAATTTTAATTTTTCAATATAATGGATATTAAATGCCTTTATTGGAAAAACAAATAAAATATATTGACAATAAAATAGAAATAAAAATTTAGATTGGTTTTTTATATCCATTTTTTTCAAATTAAAACAATTAGAAACAAATACCATATAACAAATAATAGTATAGGTCTCTGCAGGCCATCTTCATTAACTGCAGACACAAGTACTCGTCCCTTCTGTGCCTTTTCTGCCTACACCTTTGAGGATAAGAAGTCCAATTAAAGTTCAAATATAATGAAATTTATAAAACATAACAAAAACTAACGAAAACCTTTGCGATATATAGCTCCATCAAAGATTTTCCTGGTAGCTAAATATAGTTCTTATTGTTTTCAATACAAAATGATATTCACATATTGCTATATAATCTAACATTTTCTATATGTTATATGTGTAAATGCATCTAAAATATTGAAACCCTATTTAAAGTACCCACAATGCACTTTTAAACTCATAGTAATGTTGCGAGATTATTATATTAATAAATTGTTCTGAATACTATAATCGTAAAACTGGCATTAGTCCCAAGTAGTAGTCTTCTTCAGTGTTCCGCTATGCTATGGGATAGAGAAAGTGCAATTTAATCTCTAAATTGAACTATCATAACTTCAATTTATAAATATATATAAATTTCATCAGATCATATCAACCTAAAAGTGAAATTTATAATTAACTGCATAAAACTATGCACAATAAAAATAGTTTTATTAACAAAATATTGAAGAAAAAATTAGTTAATGAAAAAAACTAGAAAAAATCTAATAACTTTTAGTGTTTCTCTTATCTGTCTTCCGAAACATAAAAATTTTAAGGAAAAATCTGACATCTGGTTTCTGTCCAATTGGAGAGGGCGTGGCCCAATTTTAAATTATTTATTTTCAATTATATTAATGATTATCATTTCTTTGTTTCAGAAACAGACAAAAAATCTTGATTTAGAAGTGTTCGATTAAAGTTGAAAAGACAGCAACAAAAATTTTAGTTAATTTATTGAAATTTGGCTAACCATACAACGCTTTTTCGAGTAACATTTGGAGCTAACCAGAAGAAAAGGAAACAATTTTCTATTATTTTTATGCATGCCCTGCTCCTTGCAAGCAGAGAACAACCACTTTTCAATAAAC